CCAGCTTGCTGCGGCACATTTAGCATGCATCTCTGAGTCCTCTCAGAGGACCAATCTTGCTCTTCCTTTCCACCCTTTATATTAAATGCCTTCTTATTTAAAATGCTACTGATGCTTTCATTTCTTTAAAAGATCCCTGACTGCTACAATGCTCCAGTTAAATTCTTGCGTCTGTGATGATTTTGCAGAATTAAACAGTTATTTTCTAAAGTACTTCCTTTCTCCATACGTTTTAGCTCTATTCTGAAAGGACTGAACGGATTATTTTTCATTGACTTTTTAGAATTCAAAGTCAAGTGTCATGGATGGGTCAGTATAGCAAGAAATTACCTGATGTTCTTCTACCTCTAAAATCACAAGCGTCATAGAATTTGCAATTAGACATTATTGATGTACATAGTGGCTGTGAATAATTTAACAGGTATTAAATATAAAATAACCAGATATGGACAAATTTTATATAATAATTTTAAATGTTGATAATATTAAGTAAATGCTAATCGATGTTCTATCAATTTTTACAATGGTTACAGGAATTTGACTCATTCCATTCTCATCAATAAAAGAACTTTATTAAAAAGGACTAGTGAAAAGGTTAGTTAGCTTTGGAAAGGATCAGTACCTAACCTTTACAAAAGAGAGAATTCTCCCATTTTTTTTTTTCTAGCACTTAGATTTTCTGGGCCATTTCCAAATATACTGACAACACCAGATGTCAGCTGTAAGAAAATCTAGCCAAAATAATTTAATTTTTTAAAGTCAGAACAAAAAAGCAAAACAATGCAGAGATAATGAAAAGCGTATCTATTCAACTAGACAATAGTCATTAAGTACTTATGAGGAAGTTAAGAGAAACCAAGTCACTGAAACATGAAACAAGTCTTTGGACTTAAGAAAATCAGATTATAATTTTAATATTTTTATTACATCTAAATTGTATAAAAACAGTGGAAGAGAGGCAGAGTAAGCTAAAATCCAAGGTTAGAATTTATATATATGCCAAATGTCCATAAAAGAAAAATCACACAAGGTAAACTAGACATATTTGTGCTCTTCAGTATTAAGGAAGTATATACATCAAGCTTTATACAATTTCTTCAGAATTTGTTATAGAAAAGCTACATGTTTAATTTGTTATATATTGATTGGCTCCTTTTCATATTTCATTACAATATATTGAGAAGTAAACTTCCAACATTTTACATTACTGAAAAAATTTCAAGCTACCACAAACAGGATATCTTGTAACACAGATTTCAATATTCTCTAAATATAGACTATATTTAGGATTATTTTAGAAGCAAAATTGCAGAGGCTATGTAGGGTAAAAATGGGGTTCTAATGGACAAAAATTTAGACCTGAGGTACCCAATCACCTTGTCATTCTTCCGAGACATTTTTCCACTTAATGTCTTTTAGTGCCCAAAGTAATATTTAGTTTCCAAGTATGGGCTTTGGTAAGGAATTAGAGGTGATGGGAGCCTTATGGGAGAAGAAAATGACAAGATAATAGATTATTTGCACTTCACACTTGGACCCTTGATTTGACTCCCTTTTCTATACACTACAGACTCCATCAGCCTCGGGTCTATGCTATTTAGTTCCCTCAAATAGTTCAAAGTTATCATATAACTCGAGTCGATTTTTGTCACCTTGAAATATTGACAATAAAATGATAGAAGAAGAGAACAACTAAACTTGCTTTCTTTAAAAAAAATGGAATGGCCTAGGTCAAATGTTGAGGTTTCAATGTTGTCATTGCAGAGTTCTCATACGTGCTTTTCATCTATTGGACAAATGGCATTTGAATAACAGCCCAGCACAATCACAATCTACCCCAGCAGGGCTTCTCAGAGTGCTGCTTCCATTCCACGACGAAATGGCCTACTGCCTTTCTGCACAGAATATTCTCTTTACATAGATTTATATTTTTCAGTCAAAACCAAAATGCTTCCTTTAATCATGGATCCTGAAAAGTATAAAAGTATCAATCACATCTAAGTCTTCCATTCCTCATTTGTTAGTTAAGAAAAAGTATGTGCTTTCATCCTGTTAACACAATCACAACAGGGATATATTTCTGAGAACACAGATACTAAGGACAAACATGTTTTATACATGAAGACAGCTGTGAAGACATAGCATGATAGATACAATTTGACTGAGGTTTACTACTGGGTTAAAACCAAATTTGCATTTTCTTATTTGAAAATGTAATTCTCTACAAATTTGATTTTTAAATGATTAAATTAGGTTTACACACTTATTTTGAGTAATCAGTACACATACACAAGTAGCCCCAACCAAATGTTCTGGTATCACTAGGCAATAAATTATTAGGAAACTTGCTGGGGCCCGAGAGGACGGACGGCCAAAGCGCTGACCCCGAGTCCCGGAATGCTGGTTCTCACCGGGGCACAGGTGGCCCGAAGGCAACGCGCTGGAGCCAAGACCCTTGGCCTACAAACTCAACCCTAATTCCTTCTTTCTTCTTGTTCCCAGCTTACACTCCCTTCTGGTCGTAAACAGATGTTGTTTTATCTTGTTGTTATGTTCTTAGCTTGAACAGTGTGTATCTGCTTGTCGCTTCTTGTGACTGCTGTTTATCTTACTCTTGCCTCCTTGTGACTGAAGTTAATTATCAAACCACTGTGATCGTGCTTGTGTGTGTGGTCTTGAAGCTACTATATAAGACCCTGTGTTAAAATAAACTTTACCATTAGCCATCAGCCTTCGGTCATTCGTTGTGTCTGCGGTCGTCTCCTCGAGTCCCCTCCTCTAGAAAGAGACCTCAACAGAAACTATTTTGACAAATATCTGCTGAATGTTCTACTTATTCTCCCACTGAAAAATAATTATTCTCACTAGGAAGGATGGTAAGAAATAATTGGTAATTATTTTTTAAATAATTATTTGGCTTTGCTAAAATAAGAGCATCTTTGAACCATCTTTGCCCTGGCTATGATTTAATACACTCAGAAATTTCATAGTTAAAATGTGATTTGCATTGATTTATTATATTCTCTCTTTATCATGCCACCTCAACATAACTGGTGTTTGTTTTAGTTCCTTGTGCCTGTTACACAGAAATAATCAGTAGCATTTACTGTAATGAAGAAGTCCTATAAGTGTAATTATTGGTTTGAAGTATTTTTTCACATTTCACTTCCCAGACAGAAATACAATCAATTTTAAGAAGATCTTTTTTACAGTTTTCAACTCATTCCTCCCTTTTTTATTTCACTGATTTGATTTTTTTCACCTTTTCTCTACATTATTTTTTTAGTACTTATTCTCAGGATTGCAATCAGTCTCTGAAACTGCTCTGGGTTACAATCACTTTAGTTTCAATATTTTGCCAAAAGTGTCCTCCTACAAAGCTGTCCTTTTTCCTTCGTGCAATTTTATTTATATACATTGTGTGTACATTAACATGGGGTTATAGTTAGCTTTATGTATTTATCTCTTACATAAGAAAAAAATGTTAAACTTTTTAAATACTAGCTTTTTAACTCACTTCGTTTCCTTACCAGTATTTTTCATTCCATCCTGCAGCGCAAATGTATCTCTAGCGTTTGTCCATGCCACCTGGAATACCCATTAGCACTTACCATGAGGTAAAGGGGGTCTACTAGTGACGGACTACATTTGCTTTATTCGAAAAATGCTAATTTCTTCCTCATTTTTGAAGGACTATTTGTTAGATATAGAATCATGAGTGAATGGCTTTTCCACTCAATTTTAGTACTCAAAATGGGTCATGGCTGTGCCTTCTGGTCTCCATGGTTTCCAGTGAGAAATCGATGGAACCCTACTGAAAAGCCCTTTAACTCGATGAAGTTCATCTCTGTTGCATCCAATTATGTCTCTTAGTTTAGTTATGTGTCTTGATATGATTTTCTCTGTGCTTTTTTTTCTTAAAAGTTGTTAAGCTTTTAACCATGTATATTCCTATTATTTTATCAAATATTAGAAGTTTCTGGCTATCCTATCTTCAAATGCTATTTTTACCTAGTTTTCTTTCTGCTCTGAGACTCCAATTTTGCATTTGTTGTTTTGCTTGGTGGTGCCCCAAAGCCTCAGATTCTGCTCAATTTCCTTTTTTTTTTTTTTTTTTTTTCTTCTCAGACTGGGTAATTACAGTTGACCTGTAATCAAGTGTGCTGATTTCATATACCTGCTATGGAAAACATTTTAGTTATTTTATGTTAGTTTAGATTCAGAATTTACAATTCTTTTTTTTTTTTTTTTACAATTTTTAACTTTTTTTTTTATTTTTCTGTAGGGCTCTGATGATTTTATTTAGTAGGATGGATTGATTGATTGATTGAGTGAGTGATTTTTAGATATTGTTCCTGGCCATTCCTTTTGTTTTTAACCTTTCTTCATTATCTTTTAACTTGGCTTCTGTTTTCATGTTGAAGATATCTTTCAAATGTCTATTATCTATATTTCCTTGTAGAGATTTTATGTCTTCAAAGTTTTTTCTCTATTCGTAAGGCTATTGAGAACAATATTTCCTTTTTTCTTACTACTGTTCAGATTATCAATGCTATAATTTTAATTTCTTTAAGATTTTAATGTAATAATTTATGAAATAATTGTAAGTTTAGAAGGAGTTTTTGGCTAACATATGTTTGATTTCTAATTTAATTAATTATAATTTTAAATATCATTTACACATGCAATGTTTTCAATTAACTTCTAAATTACTTCAGTTGTCCAATTCAAATAAAATGTTCCTGTGTATTTCAATTATTCATAAATCTAAAAAGGTAAACTTATGAATATGATTAAACTTTTTAGAGTCTGATGTCAAGTATAAGCTTAATCAATCTATACCTTCAAATAAAAATTTAAAAATTAGTTTTTTCATAGTAATTGCAAAGCTGTCATTCTAATATGCCAAAACATCATAAAGATTGTGTGCATATAAAATATACATAAGTACTCATTACTTCAAGTGCAAATCCACAGAGCCCAAGAGGCTCATGCCCTACCTTATTTGTGTATCTTCTTAAAAATAGACCTCAGTAAGCTTAAAGGACTCCAACAGAAAAATTCAGGTGAGATGTAAGCAATGACTTAGAAACAAGAATATCTCCTCCATCACAAAGTTCCCATTGTTATATAGTCAATTAGATCATCCCTGCATACTTCTAGTGCCCCTATGATTATATACAGTGTTATAGGAATTGAGCCTTCAGGTGCCTGTCTTATCACTCTGTCTTTTCCTGGCAGGAGTAGGCCAGCTTTACTGTGGGACTGATGGGATGATATTAGATAAAATCATGTATGATTTAAATGTGTCCCACAAAGTTCATGTGTCAGAAAACATAATTCCTAGGTTTGAAAGAAAGATGAAGTCTAATTAGAAGTGAATTAATATGGTTATTGTAACTGTGCTACTCTTTCCATAGGTCTGCTAAGGCTACAGTGGGCCTGCTACAGAATTCAGTTCATTCTTTCCCTCATGCTGTCTTAGATTTCTGTTTCAACCATGGATGACCCAGCAAAACAGACCCCACTAGAGCTTGGATTAGAAGAGTGTTACCTCTTGGACTTCCCAGACCCAAGAAGTGTAAGATATAAATTTCTTCCTTTCTTTTCTTTTCTTTCTTCCTTTCTTTTTCTTCTTTTAGATAGAGTCTCACTACATAGTTCAGGTTGGACTTGAAACCACTATGTAGCCCAGGAACCCACTACATAGCCCTGTCTGGCCTTGAACTCATGGCGATTCTCTTGCCTCAGTCTCTTGAGTGCTGGGACTACAGAAGTGAGCCACCATGCCTGAGAAAATCTCTTTTCTTTGCAAAGTATCCCATCCTTGTTAGAAAGTCCTAACACCCAATAAATGTTATTGACTTTACTAAGAATATCAACACACAGTTTCTTTGAAATACAAATTCTATGGTGAGGAAAATAGCTCAACTCTGTTGTTAGGCTTCAAAATGCTAAAAGGGAGAAGTCTTGAAGTTTATGGAACCAGCATCAGTGGATATATATTAGTAACGTTTCCATTTATATACACTCTTCAGTCTACTCACAGAACTCTGAAATCTCAAACATAATTACTCAGATTTTTCATTCATACAGGTCTTTAGATGTGTAAAATATTTTTCCAAATGATGTAGGAGATATCCAAATTCTACAAAACACTAAATACATAAATTAAATTTCTCTTAAATTTCACACTTATATGCCCTTTAATCTATGCAAGTTTATAGAGATATAAAATCATGTCAGACTGAGTTTTCAATATTTCATAGTAGCTTTGTATGTCCACCAAAACTGTTGAGGTAATTTCATCAATGTTATTTAGAACTAAAAAGATGATAAGATGCTTTGAACAGATGGTAGAACTTGGCAATTCCTGAAACTCATTTTAGGATAATCAAATGCTCTTTTATTAAAGCCTTCTTAAATAATGGGGTTTTATATATAATGATAAATTCTTCAGAATATAACAAGATTATAATTTATAATAATTATATTGGAAGATGACTATCATATTTTGTTTGAATTATATATTCTTGCATATCTGAGCAAATGAAATAAAAACACTATTCTCTTGAAATAAGAAGACAATGAAGTGAAGGTTAGAAGGCTTTAAGGAACAGAATATAGATTATAGTTTCACCCAATAAGTATAAGAATGCTAGTGTTTAATAATATTCCTAGACACTATATCATCAGAATGATACTTTAATTTGGGGGACCATTATGGAATTTTCCTTTGAACAGTAGCTATTCTTGTACTCTTTTAGAGCCAGGGATTTAGCTCAGTGAATCGGCCACTTGCCTCGCAAGTACAAGGTCCTGAGTTTTATCCCTGGTACAAAAAAAAAAAAAAAAAAAAAAAAAAAACCTCTTTTAGAAAAGAAGGCATGAAACATATTCTGAGGTTACGAAATCTCTGGGTTCATCCTTTGGTTATACTAAATTTACTTTCTCTTTTATCCTAGTGGGAAACTATTTAAAATGGGAATGATCCCCAAATAATCAAAATACTTGTTTTCACCCCTGTTACACATGTTCTATTTTTAGCTATTCAAACAGTGACTACATCTATTATGTTGGACTGGGTCCTTTGGAGGAATCAAAACCTTTATGGGAATTTATGCAAAAATTGTTAATATTTCATAAAGTGTTTGGAAAACACAGAATTTGAACACTAGCTTTTCTATGATGTCTGCAAAAAGGAAAAGAATCTATGCATACTGTGGACTTTATCTGAAAGATTTTGTATGTTTTTAAACTAGATTATGAGCCTGTGGCATCATAGTCTATGATTATGTTCCATGTTACCTTTCTAACCATTGACTAAAATAAGACATATACGTGCCTAATACATTTTTGTAGAATAGTGAAAAGGCATATTTGTCATTAAGAAAATTATACTCAATTACAGAACATTAAGGTGCATACACCTTCCAGGGAGAAGGATACAATTGTAGGAGTTCTTGGAAATACTAGATTATTCTATATTTTGAAAAAAGACACTCAAAATGGTGGAATATCAGACAACTTTAGCAGAAGTATGCTTCAGATTTTTTGAGAATGACTCATTTCAAAGCATTGTGATAATGGCAATATGTAGAGAAGTTCATAAAAATTAAAATAATAGGTTCATTATAACAAATACTTCTGTATTAAGAGTAATTAACCATCTGTAACGTTCCTATCAGAATTAGAAACTCATAATAATTCTGTACTCACTAAGGCATACAAAAGCTATTATTTACCCTTTAGCACATTAGTTTAATATTGTTCCTTTAATTACCATAGTTCAAATTATAAATTATCAGAATGTTTTATTCAGACTGTGGAATATATATTTGCTCATGCATTGCTTATTTTAAAATGTTTTATTCCAAATTGAGTGAAATCTTTGGAATCCACCAAACAACTAAGCTTTTTTTGCCAGGAGGATATAGATTTACCACCAATGATTGAGTGACATCACACACTCCAAAAGACAATGAAAATGTATTTGATATCTGAGATAGCTGGCCTAAATCTCTCTAAAAGGCGGAAGGCATATAAAATCTAAAAAGTTTTGAAAATTTGCTAATGCTGTAGTCCAACCTGTCATAACGGTGTTGCTATTTAAATATATTGTCTGAAAAAAATATTAAGAAAGCTCTCCAGTTAGTAAATCAAAATGCTTCACTTTTCTTCTTAAGCAATCACAATAACAGTGATTTTAGTTCTAGGTATAGAGCTGTATCTATGTGGGTGGAGGAATGAGAGCCAATTTTTTTCTATTTTAATTTATCTTCCCTTCTTTCCTTGGAAACTTTACTATTTGGAAAAGAAAAGGTGGAAGGTATGTTTAAATATGCCATCCAGCTCATTTGATCATAAAAGTCAGGCATATTTTGGTACAGAACCAACCATACAATTTTTAGGACCCGGTGCAAAATAAAAATATCGAATTTTTATTCAAAAAGTTCTTAAGAATTTGAAGATGACATTAATTAAATGCAGGGCTCTTCTAAGCTTGAGGCTCTAGATGACTGCACAAGTCACATGACCTTTTGTATAAAGACATAACTTTTCTTTTTTTTTTTTTTTTTTTTTTT